TACCATGTTTGCAGCTCTTCTCTTTAATCTTAAATTAAACTGTGCCAATATACCTAGAAAGGGACTACGGATGTCTATTAAAATAGCAGTCTAATTTTGCAGCATTTACTCAACTCTGTAGGCAGTAATCTGCTTGAATTTGGTGAGGCTTTTGGGAAGACTGCATATGTACTGCCAAGATTGGTCCCAATGTGTTTGGGCAAACTTTTAATAATATGTTTTATTTTAATTCTAATTTGTAAATTAATTTGGACTAAGTTTTAATGTGATATTTCACAAACTTTTATAAGAGTAATTGAGGAAAGATATTTGAAATAATGCTAAAGTATGTCTAAATTTAGATTAATGAAAATCATATAGCTCTGTTAAAGGTAGAAAACTTGGCTATTATTTCTTGTATTGGTCTTTCAAACCGTTAAATTCAGTCAATGTATTGTACACAGCATATTACATACTAAGTATTTTTCCAAAGACACTGTGACCCTTTTAATAGTTTAAATATATGCTAACATTAGAGCCACATTTTTTTCACCATTGTGAATTTCACATGCATTCGAGGATCTTGAATCCCTGGTTTTGCTGCTGTTTCAATAAATCTACTGAATGATAACACTAAAATAACCCTTACACAAGGATGGAGATGGAACCTCATCTCCAGTAACAACCTCATCTCCAGTAACCGTGACAAACATCGCTGTAATATTTACAGGAGAAAAGTGTGCATCAAGGGTGAAATGCAAAGATGCATTAAAACCTCAAACTTAAAAAAAAAATGGCACAGTTGTAGCTGCTTAATTGCTTTGCTTAGAAAGACTAATGCAATGTCTAAGGAAGTAATCTCTAAATTAGTTAGGAGATGAGATCTTTCGAAGGAAAAAAAAAAAGGCATAGACCTATTGGGGAATTATGTGAAGAGACTGTCAAGAGCAGTAAAGCTGATGCATTGTTAAATGTCTTGAAGCAAGTTCTCAGTATTCTGTGTCTTAATGTGGTGAAAAGCAAACTTCAGTGAGTGGACACTTGGCATTATCCTATTTGAGCCCAAAGGTTTCCTCTGGCAGGTTGCCTCGTTGAGTGGGTCTGTCAAAATGTGTGAATTGGCCTTACTCTGAAGTATTCAGCGTAGAAATACATATGATTGTGAAGGATTGAGGACATCACCTATGTGGTAGTTAGCTGGTATACTCATTCGTGCGAAAACAAGTAAGTTGTGGCAGCTGGAGCAGTATGGTGGAAAGGGGAAAGCAGAAGAACAGTGGAGCGAGGGAAGGGAGGAGGTGCGGTAGTGTGCGGTGGAGGAAGGCAGTGGTGGTGTGTAGTGTGGGCAAGGAGGAAAGAGCTGCTCAACAGCAAGGTGGGTCTGACACCAGGGCTGTGCTGGATGAGTGGGAGATGGAGAAACGGGCACGGTGCTTTGAAATGGGGGATGGAGCAGCGGGGGTGCCCAGATGGAGCCGATTTCTACAGAGCATTTTTGTGATACTTGGCTGCGGTCTGGAGCTTTTAGGGCTGCTTTTAGTGTGGAAGCTGCTGCTCCACATTGATTCCCCTGAGCCCCACGGCAGGGATTTCTGGTTGACAGCCCCTGCATCAAGGGAAAGGAGAACACTGGGGTTTCCCGGGCTGCCAACCTTTCGCTGGGGCTGTTAACATGGGAAGAGTGCTCAAGTTTGCCACTCTTCCGCCCCAAACCTGGTGTTTCCACTGTTCCCCCAGATCTGACACCCCCTCCCCCGGTTGCCCGGGTCTGACTCATTCGCTGGTGCTTGTGGAAGCAGAACGGGGCGGGTGGGAGCCTCCTGATTTATAGTAACTATTTGTTTGATTGAGATGGAGAGTTAAAACTTCAGTACAAACCCACATAGTCTTCCATCACTGCTTGTCACTTTACCTGGCAGCAAGTGGTGGATATTTCTTCTCTTCCGTTGCTTTATGAAAACAGTGTATGGCCTCGATGACCGTGCAGGGTGATGGTACTATTCTTGTGCCACTGCAGTGTACAAGATTGTTAAATTGGATAGGAAACAACCGACACAAATACCCCAATGCGCCTTTAAAAAAAAAAAAAAAAAAGGGGGGGGGGAAAAAAAAAAAAAAGAAAAAAAAAAGATGAAGGCGCTTAAATGCCTCCTGCCAAAAGTAAAGACCAAATCTCAGTTGCAATGGCTCTGCTAAAACTTGATCATGCGGGATTTCAAGCGATAAAGAGCTGCCGGGCTTGCATTTACTGCGGTGGGAACAAGTTGCAGGATGAAATCCAGGCATTAAGGGACCTATTTTCCACTTCGTTGTTTGCAAAGGAATCTACTGAAATGACTTTGAGCATCTTAAAACTGGAACTATGTGGAGGGAGAATGCAGTAAGTATTGCCTTTCTGGCGAGCACTAACACGCGCCTAGTAGTTGGGAATGGGCTCGGAGGCAGCGGGCGCCGCGCAGGGATGTCAGCGTTGCCGGCTCTCGCGGTTTGATGCTTGGCTCGTAGTTTCTAGCCAGCACCGAGGACCGGTTAGGGAATGCCGGTTGCCTTTGCCTGACGCGCCAGCGTCCTACATTTAACTGGGGTTGCTTGAAGAAGTATCTTTATGTGTATTTACTGGAAATAGTGAATGAAAAATCAAAGCAACCCGAGCTTTTCGTGGAGGGATCTGCTGGAGTGTGTCTCCCTGGGTTTGTTTATAATAAATTGAGAATGAATCTGTTCCGTTACAAGATCAAAAAGAGCTTAATCCCATACCGATTTAGCTGTTTTCCAGATTATGCTTGTTTTGAACTTGTCAAGAAACATTCATTTTGGAAACTGAAATAAAGAACCATCTGGTTAGCCATTCTAACTAGGGATGCTGTAGGCATGGCAGCAGGAAAAAAAAGAAAATAAAAAAACACACTTTGATTTCTAGGAGGGGAAAATTTAGTAGAATTTATGTACAAGCACTTAAGAAAAATTAACAGATTTTGCAATGTTGTACTAGATAGTCCTTCCCCCCCAGCTTACACAAATTGTTAACTCCCTAATAAAAATTTTTAAGTTTTTGGTAGGGGGGGGGGGGGGGGGGGGGAACTTTTGAGTCTAGTCACTTTATTTCGGTTCACATGCCACATGAGATTGAAATATATTTTTTTCCCCCTGTCAAATCTGCAACCTGACTAACGGCTTTTCATCGTCT